GGGAGCCTCTGGTGGTGTGGTGGGGGGGCCCTCTCTAGCGATCCAGCCATGCAGCCTGAGAGACCTGCCTGAGGAGGGCCCTGCCACCTGGATCCAGGGTCTGGTAGGTTCTGAGCTTGAGGAAATGCTGTGACTCGGGCGTCCTGAACCGGTCTCACGTCCTCTGTGCCTTTTCTGCTTTCTACTTGCCTTCTCTGTTTTCACCTTTGGGCTCTGTTAAGTTGGTTCCATATTTTTCTCTCCTTCCCCACTGCTCCCACTTGTCTTTCTGCCGTGGGGCAGCCTGGCTCACCCTGGGGCAGGACCCTTGGCTGAGCACCTGGGGAATTCAGGCTCCATGACCTGGGTCAGTGTGTGTGGCTCATCCAGCCCGTCCTCCTTGGGGGTCCCCTTGGCTCCTGTGGGCAGTCCCCATGTAGGGGCTCTCCAGGAGGAGGCTCTGCTTAAGTGTCAGGATGGCCTTTGAGCCTGCCAGCCCCAGATGAGCCCTCTGCTCTCTCTCCTCAGAAGCTGCAAAGGCTGGCGGCTGCCCTAGGAGACCAATGGCCAAGTGTTCTCAATTTGATGATTCTCAGTGCCAGAGTGACTGGCATTGCCCAAATAATCAGAAATGTTGCCATGATATATGTGCACTCAAATGCCTGGACCCTGTAAACCTCTCAAAGCTAGGTGAGTGATCGCAGCACTGAGAAAAGCATTAAGCAGAGGACACAGCCTTACATGCAGGTGGTCACACTGCCCAGACAAGACGTGCCCCACCTGGCTGTGGACACAACCACTTCCAGGAGGCCATTTTCAGGTCACATCCTCTGGGCCTCATACGGATAACTGGGCCGTGGGCAGCCCCAACCCATCAGCACTGGACACTTTACCTGCATTGACTGGGGTCTGATGTTAGAGGGGTTCCAGGCTGCCTTCAGGGGCCATACAGCCTCTGAAGTGGGGTCACAGGGCTGGGGAGCAGAGGGTTTCTCCATAGAGGGTGGAGCAGGCTGGGTCTGG